TGATATTGATGCCGATCATGAGGAGCCCAGCGATCTGGAGGCTCGCCTAGAAGAAGGAGATAGAATCTTCATTTTAGACCATGAAACGTACTTCGCGACGGGAGCAGCACGCATTTGCACCACAGCCACTGATTTAGCGATCAAAGAAAGCCTGAAACACAAAGCCAAGACCTTTGAAAATACCATCCCGAGTCACTATCACGACTACTCCGATGTATTTAGCAAAGAGGACTTCGATTTTTTACCGCAAAGACGACCGTGGGACCATGCGATCGAACTTACACCAGGCGCGCAACCGATCAGTTGCAAAGTTTACCCTATTTCTGTAAACGAACAAAAAGAACTTGATGAGTTCATAGAAGAGAACCTCCGAACCGGGAGAATTCGACCATCGAAATCTCTGTGGGCTTCTCCTTTCTTCTTCGTCAAGAAAAAAGATGGACGACTTCGACCCGTACAAGACTATCGAAAGCTGAATGAGCTGACGATAAAAAACTGCTACCTACTTCCTTTGATACAGGAACTAGTAGACAAGTTGAAGCAGGCGTGGTACTTTACGAAATTAGACGTCCGATGGGGATACAACAACATCCGCATCAAAGAAGGAGACGAAGAGAAGGCAGCATTTCTAACGAATCGAGGACTATTCGAGCCACTTGTCATGTTTTTTGGTCTCACCAATTCACCGACTACGTTCCAAACCATGATGAACGACATATTCCGAGATCTCATTAGTCAAGGACACGTGGTAGTCTATCTAGACGACATCATGATCTTTACTCAAGATTTAAAAGAACACCGTCGGATCACGCGGCAAGTTCTTCAGATCTTAAGGGAACACAAACTTTATCTGAAACCGGAAAAGTGCGAGTTCGAGAAAGCGGAGATAGAATACCTCGGGATGATAGTAGGAAAAGGAGTTGTTCGCATGGACCCCGTCAAGATAGAAGGAGTTGTCAATTGGCCACGGCCCGAAAGTAAACGAGACATTCAGGCATTCCTCGGGTTTACCAACTTCTACCGAAGATTCATCTGAGATTACGGCAAAATAGCAAAGCCACTCAGTTCACTAACGGGCAATGCTACTTTCGAATGGACCGTCGAACAAGAAGTAGCCTTCACAAGTCTAAAGAACGCTCTCTGTACAGCACCAGTGCTAGCCATACCTAATGACAACAACCCATATTGAGTAGAATGCGACGCCTCGGACTTCGCCATAGGAGCGGAATTAGCCCAGAAGCAAGATGGCAAATGGAAGCCTGTTGCTTATCTGTCAAAAGCCATGACAGCTGCTGAAAGGAATTACGAGATTTACGATAAGGAACTTCTCGCAATCGTGACTAGCCTTGATGAATGGCGTCAGTACCTCATGGGCGCCGTACATCCGTTTGAAATATGGACGGATCACAAGAATCTAGAATACTTCCGGAAGCTGCAGAAGCTCAACCGACGACAAGCCCGGTGGGTAACCGAGCTGGCTGAATATCAATACTCGTTACATCACAAGTCCGGTAAATCTAATGGCAAAGCCGACGGACTATCTCGCCAAAAGAGGCACAATGCAGGAAAAGAGGACAATTCCGATATCGTATTACTAAAACCAGAACATTTCCGTGCCTTGATTCGCAGTACTGTATTTAGTTTAGAAGGAATCGACCAGGACTGGGTCGCAGAAATTAAAAAACACAAAAAGAACCGAGATTCGTTAGTTACCGTAGCTTTACAGAACAAGGACAAAGACTGGAACGAAGATAGTACCGGACTCGTGACATAGAAGAACCATATTTACGTACCAGTAAATAGAAAACTCCGCGAGCAAATCATTGCTCATCACCACGATACCCCATTGGCTGGACATCCTGGTCAATACAAGACACATGAAATGGTCACACGTAACTACTGGTGGCCCCGAATTCGAGAAGATATCAGGAAATATGTGGCCGGATGCGAGAAATGCCAGAAGACCAAGGTTCATACGACACGTCCTACCGGACTTCTATTCCCCAACGAAATTCCTTCACAACCCTGGGAAGTAATCTCCGTTGACAAGATAGGCGTATTGCCGGACTCCTTCGGATACAATGCCATCCTCGTAATCGTCTGCATGTACTCTAAGCAGATAATCGCGATACCAAGTACCATTGAGCTTAACGCCGAAGGATGGGCAAAGGCACTCAGAGATAACATAGTCGCACATCACGGATTACCTCGAAAGATCATCAGCGATAGAGGAACTGAATTTAAGAATCAGTTTATTTCCGAACTGTACCGATCGCTCGGAATCGAAGCCAACCCCTCGACCGCGTATCACCCCCAGACAGACGGACAGAAGGAACGCATTAATCGCGAGATAGAACAATATCTCCGATTATTCATTAACTACTGACAAGCAGATTGGGCCGAATGGTTGCCACTCGCGGCCTTTTCATATAACAATAAAGTTCATTCGTCCACTGGGTATACTCCCTTCTTCGTCAATAAAGGGTATCACCCTTATGAAGGAATCCAACCAGTGCAAGAAGGACTAAGTGAAAACGTCCAACAGTTTGTCGATAGAATGGATCAAGTACGTGAGGATACTAGCGCGGCTATCAGCTTAGCGCAGGAAACCATGAAGCGCTTCTATGACAGAAAAAGGAAGGGCGGACCGGAGTACAAAGTGGGAGATAAAGTTTGGCTAGAAGGAGTAAATATCTGAACCGACAGGCCAATGAAAAAGCTCGACAATAAGCGATACGGACCCTTCAAAGTCAAACATAAAGTCGGCGCTTCTGCCTACGAGTTGGAACTCCCGCGTCAATGGAAACAACACCCCGTTTTCAATGAGAGCCTCCTTAGTCCTTCAAAGAACCCGCGTATCCCTCACAACGACGAGAACCGATAGTCCCCGACCTCGTAAATGGCGAGGAAGAATGGGAGGTTGAAGACATTCTTGATTCACGACGTGATCGGAACGGAAACCTAGAGTATCAGGTACTCTGGAAGAACAGTCCCCACGGCGATCGCCGTTCTTGGGAATCACGGGCGAACTTGACCAATTGTCAAGAACTCCTTCAGGAATTCCACGCTAGACGTCCGGACAAACCCGCACCCATGCTAATTCGCATTCCCCCTCTATTAACACGACCTGTCCATATACTCACACGTGATACCACTCTTTTGGTACAACAGATAGGTGGAATTCTCCCGAAGCAAGGGTCCGAAGAATCGGCTGGGTTTGACCTCTATTCAGCTGAAAGCGTTAAAATACCGGCATGAGATCGCAAAATTATTGGCACCGGCATAGCAATGCGCACCCCTCACGGAACGTATGCACGAATTGCGCCGCGAAGTGGGTTAGCAGTCAAAGGGATAGATGTCGGCGCTGGAGTCGTGGACCGAGACTACACCAGAGAAGTACGCGTGGTGATGATCAACTCTACCAATCAACCCTTTCAGGTACGCGCCGGCGACCGAATCGCACAAGTCATTTTGGAACGCATTGCGTCATGCGATATCGAGGAGGTGTCGAGTTTAACAGAAACTCAACGAGGATCAGGAGGTTTTGGATCGATGGGTAAATAATCGTGAGGACACGATTCTAGACGGGGGGGGTAATGTCATGAATATTACATATCCTGGATGGTTCTCCCAGGTTCCATAGTATTCTTTTACTTTCTATACACCTCCGTATATTCGTAGGATATTCTAGGTATTCAGTCGGACATGTATATAAGGAGCTCGTACTGCTCAATAACAAGCCAGACTCGAGCTGGTCTTTCCTCACCTATTTTCCTCTCGTCCGTCTCCTCAGCTTCGTCGTAGCCCAGTCCAGTTGGATTGTAGGTTGCTGACACGGGGTACTCGCCGGGCTTGAACCCGGACAGAGCGACCTGGACTTCTGCGGAGCCGGCTTCGGAGGCAGGAATGAGGGCCGAACAGTATTTCCTTGGGCGAGTCCTCAGAAGAAAGGCTCCGTCATTCATGAACACCACAGGAGCGTACAGCTTGTGGTTCGAAATAGCCCAAGCGCTGCCTTCTGTTGGAGCAAGACAACCGGCGACGATCCTGAAAAGCGATGACGGTGAGCACACTTAGGGTCCCTGCTTCGCAAAAATAAGTAGACATACGGGAAACGGTAGAGACCTTGTTGAGGATACCAGCCATCCCATGGGTGCATCAGTGCCTTGAGCCAAGGTGCCGAGTTCCTGCACTACGATGACATAGCTGGAGCCGCTGAAATCTCGGAATGACTACTGCGATAAGACACATGCATATTGATTCGACCCTTTGATTCGTCACACATTTGACCGTTGGAGCGGGCATTTCGCTGGGGAGAGCGATTAAGCGACGGGGCTCGATTACTTACCCCAAGTTCATATATGCCGATGCAGTAACGTCGGTACCGGTATAGTACCTCTGGATCAGTCACTCGCGCGCAACTATTGTTGCTGAAGCTAGTAGAGTGGCGACGATGCTTGCTTGACAAGCTGTTGAAAGAGAATGGGTATGTTCGGCATGAAGAGAAGCTAGCGTATATACCTGCGACAGATGCTCGAAATGTCGCCGTCGCAAAACAGACCTACGGGGCTTCACCGGTGAGTCCGACAGTAGTACCTGTCCCCACAGGCCATTAAACGCTTTGTGCAGGTATAAATGGCTTCTCCTCAAAGAGAAATGCAGAACGGCAATGTCTCTGAGTATTGAACTATATTGCAAGTCATGCGAAATGACATGGCGTGGTGGCGCGGGTCCGGGTACAAGGCCGAAGCGGAAATCGCGCAGAAACTGAGGCGCACCAGTGGGTCACCTCACTTGCTAGAGTAAAGTACATCTCCCTGTGTGCTGGAGCGACATGAACAAGTTTGAAGACGGTTATGAGGCAGATAGATCCATGAAAGAGGTAACGACTGACTAGGGTTGATGGTAGTTTGCAGCTCGAACACGGAAGGTCCATACGTGTGGAAAGGAGAGATGAACAAGATAGAACAGACACACAAATACACAGTCGCAATATGCGGTCACGACGTGGTGCTTCGGCGGGTAAGACGCCATCCATGGACGGTCGCACGCACTTCTTCCTCTCCAGGATCTTCCGGGAACATAGGCTAAGAACGGCCAGGTATCCAATCAGTAAAGTCTTGAGGACACGGCAATCTATGATTCTCACAGGGAACTTCTCTGTAACGATTACCTCACAGACCCACCCACGTTCTTTCGCTTTGCTGAAAAACTCCATGTCACGATGCGCGAAGTGAGGGCGATGGTGAGAGTAAAACACCAAGACACATGGAGGGTGAGGCTCTCCAGGTACAGTAGCACGGATCGCCGTTTCGGCTGTATTCAGTAGCGCATCATGCTGATGTGGGTATGTGTCAAATGGTCAGAGATGCGACATTTGCTCGAGCGAGACCTGCATACCTGAGAATGGTTGAAGATGAGGTCGGACATAATGATGAGGTCAAATCCTCGAACATTGGTCATTCTTTGTTGCGCTTCAAATATTGGCTCCAGCGACTGGCCCCAGGTGTAGCCCTTCGAGAAGACGAAGGTTCAATGCTAATGCACCATATGTAGTAAACGATACATACCATGACTTCTACGTTGTTGTTGGTTTCAGGAATGTTTCGCTTTACATTGTGCTTGAGATTATCAAGCAGAGGCTCGTCGGGATAGTCGGTCAATATGACCTGCCAAGGAGTTTAGTGGCACCTCTTCCGTGTAGCGTGAGCCTCACTCACACATTTCGCGTTGTTTTTGGCTGCAGCTAAACCAGGCAGGCCGCCGCCAGCGCCGAGCTCAAGGACTGAACCATCTCGGTATGTTTCAGGATGTGCGTCGAGATATGACGCGAAGGATCTGGCAGCGTTCCATCTTGCGAATGCCGCTCATTAACTTCGTCCTACGAGACGCGAGGGTGAGACGTACAGGTAGTGACCCCACAACGGGTGCGAGCCAACGAGTCTAATCTCAATGTCGGACCAAACGTCATGATCTGCGCTTAATGTACCAGGCTGTGGCACGCGGGAGTAGGTTGAGATAGTCGGCTCGGGAGAGGGTGGTCGGGGTGGTTCCTAGGCAGTCCGTAGCAGCAGGCATCGGGCGGATGAGAGATGTGAAAAATAACAGATAAGAGAAGCCAGTCAAACTAACAAGGAATACCGCCTCCAGATCGAGGTTAGCCTCGTCGTCGCCGCCAGACGTGTCATCGGGCATGATGAGAAATTGGTGGAAAGTCCCGCCGTACACCTGAATTGGTTAGTGCGGCGGGTCGGCAAACTCCGAGTGATGTCAATGCGCAGTCATCACATGATATGTGACAAGGCGTGACAGCCATGTTTGCCAAACGGCTTTGACCGCGATAATCCCCACGCTGCGGCGAAGATACGGTGGTAAGATAGTCGCAAAATTCTGAATTTTGCCAGGATGTAGACAAAGACACAGAAGTTGGAAGCATTTTCTTCTGCCGGACGAATTTGAGGCTTTGAGGCGTGACAAACGCGGGTCATGTGATGCACCCACAGACGTCATCATTGCATTGCGAATATGATTATGATTATAATCGATTGCGTCCAGCAACAGCAGCCTCCACAAAAGGTATTGAAACCTTGCACCTTGTCACTAGTTCTCGCTGTGACGCATCGTCTTACAGCCCCAACCACGATTCATCAGAGGACGATCGGATTATCTTCTCATAGAGAGCTCAAACCGTATGTTTACTTCTAGGTCTGCCGTGCACATGATCTAACGAGCATCTATAACGCAGTTGCGTACATAGAACATCTGTCATGTCTGCACCGGGCATCACCCAGTTCAAGGTTCTCCTCTTTGATGTCTACGCCACACTCGTTGTAAGTGGCGCCTGCTAGCTACAATGAAGATTGTAAGTCTGATGGGGACCGCTCCCTATCTAGGACTGGGAGACGGGAATATTCGAGGCTATAAAACCGATGCTAGGAAGACTTGGCTCGCCTCTTGCCAAGTCGAAGCGCGACACACTGCTGGCCTTCGAGAGCGTGGAAATTGACCTCCAAGCGAAATACCCCACGATGTTATACTCAGACATACTTGCGCACGTGCACGCGGAACTCAAACGACGCATCTCTAACAAGCCGTCCCTCCCTCACGGGGTCGCCACGGCGCCCGTCGAGGAATCCCGAGCCGAGGGCGCGCCGTCATCTACTCTTACCACGGCGGGCACATCTGCCGCTGCTGGCCAGCCCGCGACGCCGGGCCTGGAGGAGGATGACATCGCCTTCGGCAAGAGCATATCCAAGTGGCCTGTGTTCCCCGACACCATCGCCGCGCTCGCCACGCTGTCCAAGCACTACAAGCTCGCCGTGCTCTCGAACGTCGATCACCAGTCGTTCGCTGCCACCCGCGAGATCCTTGAACGCTCTGATACCGCGAACCAGTTCACCTTCGACGTCGTCTTCACTGCACAGGATATCGGCTCGTACAAGCCGGATCCGGCGAACTTTGAGTACGCGCTGAACAAGCTGGACGGGCTGTTCGGCGCAAAGAAGAGTGACGTCCTAGTGACCGCCGCGTCGCTAACGCACGACCATACTCCTGCTAACCAGCTCGGAATCAGGAGTTCGTACATTGCCCGAGAGGGCGCGGTGATGAGCCAAAGCAGCCCTGCAAAGTATGATTGGAGGTTCACGACGCTCGGAGAGATGGCTTCAGAAGTGGAGAGGCAGGCGAGGGCTTGAGCACCAGAGGGACTTACGGCGTGTCTATCTTTGCTAGGATGTCTCAGTATTGTGCCGTGATGAAAAGAAGAACGATCATGTGAAATGTTGTACACTCTATCAGCCCTATTCCCTTTTCGTTGGCTTGAGCCTCGACATAACCATCTTGAATCTTTTCATTGACGCCCACGATAGCGCTCTGATCCAGGCCTGCACGAATTGGAGCTGGTCGAATCTTACGTGCAGGTGGCAGCAAAGAAGTGCTCTATAGCAAAGGACCTGAGCCGTAACTAGAACAAGCGTTCGAAGCTGTTCGATGGCGACGCGGAAGGCACTGGCCCTGTGACTGGCGTGGATTAGTCCCATGTTTTCTTTCGCACGCATTACGTGTATGACGGCGACCAGTTGCATTCGAACCCTTTTAGCTGGAGTCATGGTCCCGAGATCTGCTCGAGCTGCATCATAGCGCTGCGGTCATTCCCGTCGAGCTCATGAAAGTGCAGGAGGAATCTTGACACGAGGATGAAAGGCTGCGTACGGACCCAGTACCAGTGTTGACCGTCGACTCCCGAGCTGTGCATTTACATGGTTACCGATGAAGGTGTCAACGGGGATCAAGACAGACTGGCACGCCTGCGAGTTGAGTAGCAGCGAAACGTATAAAACGGGCCACCTACACTGCCGTTCAGTGTGCACATCTGCGCTACATTTGATTGTCAGTAGCACGCTATGCGACGTCGTTAGCCAGGCCGCTTTCGGTAGCTACCACACTTGCACAAAATATGCCGTTCCTGGAGGCAAACGATTAGTGAGAAGCTGGGTTATGTTCCTCATAAAAACAAAGCGCTGATCGTCACGAAGGGGACGTGTGGACAGTGACATCCGGATGTCCAATGCACGGGTGGCGTGCCACTGCCGGCACGTCTTTGTCCGACTCAAAGCGAATGCAATTGCGTCCGCCAGAACCAGGGAGACCCGGTTAGCGATAGTCACTACAGTGCAGTTAGCTTGAGTACCTGCAACTGAGAATTTTCGAGGGCGTCAGTGACGAAGACAGTCCTCGCTGATATCGAATTACACACATTAGCTGTGGACAATCCTAATAGCGGACGACCGCCATGCATACAGAGCCGGGAGCCTTGATGTACCTGATCAGAGTGGGTATTGACAAACTGAACGGTCGCACGATAGATATATCGTGTTGATAAATTACGTACAAAATGTCTGCAGGGCACCAATTAGAAGTAGGACATCGTTGACAGGAATGAGAGTTACACATCTGATCGGAAAGAATAAACTCTTAGGCATGTTCTCCCTGCTACAGGTAACTGTGAGATAAATACTAAGTGGACGTCAGATGGATTGGAGGAGGTTCGAAGAATTCATCGTTTGATTGCGGGCCGCGGCTCGTCGTAGGTCCAAGAAGAAGCGCGAGATGAGCGTTGAGGTCAGTCTATGGCTGGTCAGCGGATGATCTGGGGTTGACGTCGCGGCAGATTGCTGACGTACGGTGAGACGTAGTAGGAAGGGGGGTTGTCTCCCTAGTCGGACACCTTAGATCGCGAACATTCATGACAGCTCTTGAGATACCTACTGATACCTGAGAAGCCACCACAATCTGGGCTAGATTAACAACGAGCAATATGCTTTGGTGGAGATCGTAAGAATTCTGCCCATGCTGTGACCCGGGAAACTGTACGCACAGGAAATAGAGGGAGTCTAGAAGCTGTTAGAAGAGACAGCTCGGACAGGATCCTCCAACAATCGACGTACCGTCTTTGACAAGAACTTCGCTTAGGCCACCTTTGATCCTCATTTTCAACGCTCGTTCCTTGACTTGCATTGTTTTGAGAAGTGTAAGGAGAAGGGCAAGGCCATCATAGGCAATAGTGGTTGCACGATTTGCGATTATAACTGTGAAGCCATGAGTCGAAGTCATTCACAGGAAACCTAACGTACATCTGCCATTAACCAATTAGTAACCAGACATGTCTATAGCGTGAGGACATACTTGCTATACGATGCGCTTGTCATCCGCTGTATGCTCACTGCGCAGCCAAAAGTCGGCGATGGCGCAGTCTGGGTATTCTTATGAACATCTATGATCTGTTGTAACTTAGCTCCGTATAAGTCGAGCCCGAAAAAATGTGCGTTTACGATGTTTAAGACAGGAGACACGAGAGATAACGCCAGCACCGGCAAGGCTGGCCTCCAGTCACGGCCCCAAATGGCATATACACGTAAGGTGGTAAATGCTGACAGAGCTATCAGCGAATTTGGGTGGACGTTTTCAGAATGCCTGGAGCATACCTGAAAAAATGAGCAATGCGACGACGAGCAGAGACTGTAGTATACGAATAAAAGCTCCACAGCTGAATACTTGATCAGGCACATGTCACATCCCCACATGTAAGACCGTTACCTCTGTCTGTAGGTTAACATCAGGCGGCAGCGCTATACATGTCCGTACGGACCTTGGCATCTTGAAAGGAAGCCTGCTCCAGTAGCTCAAGAATCGTGATTAGAAGGTTGACATAGCGATTTGCTATGAAAAGCATCGTCGCCGGGTTCATCTTCTGACTCCAGATCCAGTGAACTTCGTCATCAAAGGTCACGCAGTAGTCCCATAAGAAGAGAACTGAGGAGCGAAATAAACATATAAGGAAGGCGTTTGAAAAATGGAGAAGAGACCTGCCTCGTGCAGAGAGGCTGAAGTAGTCTGCTTGCAGGCTATATTGGCGGTATAGTATGTCAAACGCTGCACAAGCCATAAGGCAATGCGCTCACAAGTTCTCGTAGTTCACAGCTGCCGCCGCCTCGGTCTCAGATGTAGAGGACATATGAAAGCCTCGAGGTCGAGATACTAGGTGCGTATAAGGTACAGTTGAGGTCTGGCTTTCTAAACAGTCGGAAAAGCGCAGATGCCGCCAACCTCCCAACCGCCTCCCAATCGCCTCTCAACCGAGATCTGAGCGGGATCTTGGGATGCGCAGTTGATGTGACGATCAAAAGAGGCGACTACGAGCTTGAGTCTCACGAGGCGCATCATGATCAATTTGCCTTTCTCAGGACTCATGCACGCATGATTGGCGTCAGGTCATATTTAGGCATTCCGACGCTTCTGCCGGCTTCCAACAAAGCGCGATCGTCACAAGACAGAGCACACCCTTTCTGGCACCTGCAAAGCTGCAAAGTGATGCCACAAGGGAAAGGGGCACAAGAAAAGAGAAGAGAAGAAACAAAAGGGAAAGCCAGGATCCTGAGCCGCCACAAATTTTGAGCACGAGGTCGACATCTAGAGTCACTACTGCGGCCACTTGCAATTTGTCTCCAAGCAGCCATCCCGCCTGTTGTGGGCAAGTTGTCGAGACTCACCGCTATCCCCTTCGGACACTGATATGGCAAGTTTCATTCTCTGTTGGCTTCTCGTATTTTCCTCATACCTTTGTTTGAATAATACAGAAACTCTATTTTATCGAAAGAAGAAGCAAATAGACTCTATCACCTCCATGTCTTGTCCTTCGCCGTGATACCCAGTACATGACTGTGCTCGAACAACGGTCCCGCAAGGCTTCTAAGCTCGTGAATGTTAATTGAAGATCCCAACCTGGACAGCATGGATGTCATATGGATCGAAGAAAGTTCGAAGAATTCATTGTTTGATTGCGGGCTGCGGCTCGTCGTAGGTCCAAGAGGAAGTGCGAGATGAGCACTGAAGTCAGTCTACGACCAGTCAGTGGATGATCTAAGGTCGACAACGGAGTAGATTGCTGACATACGGTGATACGTAGTAAGAGAGAGAGTAGTTTCCCTGGTCAGAGGCCTCAGATTGCGAACACCTGTCACACATCTCGAGATACCTACTGATACTTGAGAAGCCACCACAATCTGGGCTAGATTAATAACGAGCAAGATGCTTTGATAGAGATCATCAGAGTTTTGCCTACATTACCAACTGGAGAAATGTGCTCACAGGAAATAGAGAGAGCCTAGAAGTCATTAGACAAGGCAACTCGAGCGATATTCTCCGATAATTGACGTACCGTCTCTGATGAGCACTTCGCTCAGGCCACCTTTGATCCTCATTCTCAACACTCGTTCCTTGAATTGCATAGTTTTGAGAAGTGTGAAGAGGAGGGCAAGACCATCATACGCAATTGTGGTTGCACGATTTGCAATTGTAACTGTGGAGCCATGAGTCAGAGACATATATCCAGGAAACTGGACGTACATCTGTCATTGTCTAATTAGAATGCGAGCATGTCTATAGCACGAGGACATACTTGGTATATGTTGCACTTGTCATCTGTTGTATGTTCACTGCGCAGCCTAGTGAGGCGGTGGCGTAGTTTGGATACTCTCATCGATGTCCATCACCTTTTCTGTATTAGCTTCGTACAGCTCGCACCTGAACAAAAAGTTGCCTACAATGTTTAAGATAGGAGAAACGAGAGACAAAGCCAAAACTAGCAAGGCTGGCCTCCAGCCATGACCACAAACGGCATACACACGTAGGGTAGTGAATGCTGACAGAGCTATCAGTAAATTCAGACGGACGGTGTCGGAATGCCCGAGGCATACCTGAAACAGTGAACAATGCGATGACGAGCAAAGACTGTAAAATGCGAACAAAGGGTCCACAACTGAGCATTTTGTCAGTCGCATAGCGCATCTTCAGTTATTGAGACAGCTACCTCTGTCTGGAGGTTACATCAGGCGATAGAATTCCAATGCACGTACGAACCTTGGCATTTTGGAAGAAAGACTGCCCCAGCAGCTCAAGAATCGTAATCAGAAAGTTTACATAGCGATTTGCTATGAAGAACATCGTCGCCAGGCTCATCTTCTGGCCCCAGATCAAGCGAACCTCGTCTTCAAAGGTCACGCAATAGTCCCATAAGAAGAGCACTACAGGATAAAATTAATGAATAATATGGCGTTTAAGACATTTAAAAGGGACTTTCCTCGTGCAGAGAGACTGAAGTAGTCTGCTTGCAAGCTGCATCGACGGTATGTATGTCAAATGTAGCACGAACCATGAGGCAATGTGCTCACAAGTTTGCGTGGGTTGCAGCAGCAGCTTCTTCGGCCCCGGATGAAGGGAGCATTGCAGTAGGCCTCAAGGCTCGGGGTCGAGTTCCTGGATATGTTTGAGTATTTTTTTTTAAATCTGCGTGAGCGAGACGCTGTGCACCACAGTGTCAACCAACGGTGCACACCAAGGCGTGAGTGAATGAAACCCTGTCTGGATATCAGAAAAGCTGCCAAGCGACATCGCAAGAGGAAGGGGGGAAAAGGAAAAGCCAGATGGAAGCAGATACGAAAGTCGTCCTGGGACGCCACAATCTTGAGCGTGTGTACACAGCCGAGGGCAGGATCCTCAGCCGGGGCCTGATACGCAGGGTGGTAGCTGCCGTGTACATGAGTGATAGCAGCCAGAGCAGTAACATTCCACCTAGTCTGCGTGCATCTCGAGCGTATGTCACTTCAAATTCCGCCCGATGACGGTCGTGGCCAAGCGGACGACGTGTGCGTCAGAAGCGCCCAGAAATGTGACACTGCGCGAAAATTGATAACAATACCAAATTTGGTCAATGTTGTGGTGTCGGGGGCAGTTTCTTGTCAGTGGCTCATCCACGTCCACAGACCTGTCCGCCTTCTGTGTTTCCCCGATTGGAATCGACGCCACTAGTCGAAATATCTTATGGATGTCCTCGAACATATGCTGGCACGCTAGGCACGACAGCTCATCGAACGGCGCGAGCTCGCTAGCCGGCCGGTCCTCCAACTTACGGAAGAAGCGGTGTTATCTCGGCTCAAAAAGCTCGTACATCCCGCGACAGGCCATAGTGGGAAGCTAGAACAGCCCTGCGAAGTATGGTCGGAAGTTCATGACGCTTCGGGAGATTGCCGAGGAGGTGGCGAGGCGGGCAAAGGCGTGATGATTGGAGAGCATTTTGATATGATATACCAGTGCTGTATTGACGGTAGAACCATCGATTCACACGTGACTAAGTCTGTGGCCCTGGAACGTTATACAGCTTGTCGGCCCACTCCTCTCTCTGCTAGCTTGAGCCAGCTTCAAAGTTACTATCCCAGGTTCTTCCTTCGGCGCCCGTGTGTTTCCCTCCAAAGCTAGATCCCAAAAGCTCTGTGTCCTGCCCGTCTCCGTAGTGTCCGAATTCAAGTACGCAGGTGTGCTTGAACAATGTCCCCTCGAAGCCCGAGGCATTATCGCTGTTGGATAGCGACCCCAAGCCGGGCAGATTGGATGTCAGGTTAGTCGAAAGGAAGGGCTCGTCGTATTGTTGCGCAGCTTGCCGCAAGTCCAAGAGAAACCGTGAGATCAATACTGAGGTCAATCTACGGCTGGTCAGTGGATGATTTGAGATCAACAACGCGGCAAGTTGTTAACTTACGGTGATACGTAGTAAGAGAGAGAATTGTTTCCCTAGTCATGATAGCCAGATCAGCAAACGCTTGTAGCAGTCCTGGTGATACGTACTGATACTCGGGAGGCGACCACAATCTGGGCTAGATTAAGGGCAAACAATATTCTTTAGTGATTATAAGAATTCTGCCTGGTATAACACCCGGTGAAACATGCGCACAAGAAATAGATAGCGCCTAGACATCGTCAGACAAAGCGGATCGAGCGATATCCTTTGGAAGCTAACGTACCATCTCTGACGAGAACCTCGGTCAGCCCGGACTTGACTCTAAACTGCAATGCTCGCTTCTTGACCTGAAGGGTTTTGAAGAGTGTCAGGAGAAGAGCAAGGCCGTCATATGCAGTTGTGGTTGCACGAATCACAATTGTAACTGTAAAGCCATGAGTCATAGACATGCGCCCATAAAACTGAACGTACATCTGTCATCGTATAATCAGCATTCAGGCCCTGTATGCAGTACAAGGACATACTTGCTATACGTCGCACTTGTCATCCGTCGTATGCTCACTGCGCAACCTAGTGCTGGTGGTGGCGCGGTCTGGACACCCTGATGGATGTCTATCACCTGGTGTGTATTAGCTTCGTACAACTCGAGCGCGGAAAAAAGATGCTTGCGATGTTTAAGATAGGAGAAACGAGAGACAAGACCAAAACTAGCAAGGCCGGTCTCCAATCGCGACTCCAAGTAGCATATACACGCAGAGTAGTAAAGGCTGACGCAGTGATGAGTAAATTAAGATGGAGACTGCCGAGATGTGGGCATACCTGAAACAATGAACAAAGCGACGACAAGCATAGACTGTAGCACACGAACAAACGATCCGCAGCTGAGTACTTTGTCAGCCGCATTTCACGTCTTGACTTATGGCACCGTTACCTCTGCCTGCAGGTCAACATCGGGCGGCTGAAGCATTAAAATTTGCACGAACCTTGGCATCTTGGAAGGAAGCCTGTTCCAGCAGCTCAAGAATCGTAATAAGAAAGTTTAAATAGCGATTTGCTATGAAGAGCATCGTCGCCAGGCTCATCTTCTGGCCCCAGATCAAGCGAACCTCGTCTTCAAAGGTCACGCAATAGTCCCAAAAGAAGAGCACTGCAGGATAAAATGAATGAATCAGATGGCGTTTAAGACATTTAAAAGGGACTTTCCTCGTGCAGAGAGACTGAAGTAGTCTGCTTGCAAGCTATATTGGCGGTATAGCACGTCAAATGTGGCACGAACCATGAGGCAATGTGCTCACAAGGTCTCGTAGCCTGCAGCCGCCGCCGCTTCGGTCTCAAACACAGGGAGCATTGGAGTAAGCTTGGAGGCTCGAGGTCGAGTTCCTGAATGTGCGAGAGTGTGGTTGTCTATATCCGCGGAAGCGAGGCGCGGTGCCACACAACAGTGCACACCGAGATGCAATCGAATGGGACCCTTTCCGGATATCAGCATAGGCACCATGTAAAGCCGCGAGGGAAGAAAGGGAATTCAAAAGTAAAGAGACACTAACACCATCTAGAGACGTCACGGTTGTCGAGTATAAGGCCACTGTTCGTGCATTAGGTTGATCAATCAAGGCTCTTGAGCTGGTGTGTTAGATCGCAGTCCGCAGTGCCTAGAGGCTGTGAGCAGCTACATTTTGCTCAGCCTTGTGAGTTTCCGGAGTACATCGCCGAACTTTTGCCTAAATACCCCAGTGGTGGGCGGGAGGAGGAGGACGGGTGCAACGGGAACTTTGCGCAAAATTGTGGCGCCGGCGGAAATTGCCAAATTTAGTCAACGTTGTAGTAGTGTCCTGCCCATCGACCCATCACTCATCCGACACAGATGTCTATCTCTCCTGGATTTCCTGGTTTCCATCTATCTAGACTGCACGGAGCTTTTACGACACAGTGTTACGAGCTGAAGCGCCTTATAGATGCTCCGTAAAACTTCGTTACATGCGGAACCGGGCTGCTCGCCGAACGTGCACAACATTCAGCAGTGGGAGAGCACTGCCTGCTCTGTGTACTCAGCCACCGTACTGGTAGGCATATGTAACTCAGGCGGAAGCTAAGAAAAGACTGCGACGGTCAGGTACCGTCAATAGCCCTCTGCCCTTCGTAGCATATTGGACGGGTGGTGGGCTTGATTCATGAATTCATCGAAGAGAGTCCGGAAGCGCAGCTCACTGTTCTTTTTTGAGCAACAAACTGACACGGGCTCACCCCCGCACTCTTCGTGAAAGTGAAATTTGACGGAACGCAGGCGCAGTCTTACTCAAAGAACATGATGCCTCTCGGCCCTCACTTGCCGTATCAGGACCTGGACAGTTAGCTGCATACTAAAGCCTCGCAAATGATGTGGCAAGATGCATCGCCGTAGTCTGAGCAAGGATCTTGTGAGTTACGTCTTATTCTCGCTACCTTGCACATGCTCATCGAGAACTACAGCTATTCAGCATGCAGATCAAGCCTGTTATCGCATCCCTCGCCCTCCTCGCGATGACTCGGAGCCTCGGAATCGTTGCTGCACCTACACCCGACCACTATACTATGTGAGCATTGTTACAGGACTGCCGCGGACATATGCTGATAGTAACCATGCATAGTAGTGAGAGCAATATCTCTCCCTGCAAGCGGTGAGTAGACCTCGTCGTCCACGCCAATGGTGAACCCTCTCTGACTTGTTGTCATCGAACATCTCACCCGCCAGATATATTGCTGGGCGTCAGACACTGCCCTGCTGCTGCTGATGGCCAACCGCTCTGGGGAGTCTCGTCCTGGAGTTGTACTCTCCCTACGCGCTCCAATACATGCGTTCTCTTCATGAACTGGAGCGAGAGCATCTAGCTCATCGTTGTGCATCGGCCGACGGAGAGGCTAGTGGGTCGGGAAAATCGAACGTGCGGCCGTTGGCTTCGAAGACGGCGAAGCAACCTCTAGCCGTCTGGAGACTCATGCCGTCCGCCTTTTCCCTTTCCATCAGTCCAGTTTTCACGGGCTTGTGCGGAACGGTACGGTGAGCCGTCGCGTCTCACCGATGCCCTCGCAAGATTTCGTTGCACACGAAGTGTAGCTCGACCCCCTGCGCAGAATAGACGTCGGCTATTCCAGCGTATTGACTAGTACTGCCGTCCCATCCTCAGTACACGTTTCTACTGGCTACCTACCGAGCAGACTCGTAACCAACCTGCACGAAACGCGGCGATATGCTCAACGACACATCAGGGCCGCCATTAGCAATGCAGGAAGACCGTTTGTTCCGCATACCTGGGAGCCCTGCTCTGGGAGGCGCTGTATCCGCATATATGACTCAAAACGAGGTTGAAAAATGTCAGAGCTCGATCATGCCCTATCAGACATCATCCCGGTTTTTGCATCACGACGAACGGATAGTACGTGGCTGTGTTCAATAGCGGCATGCACGCACCATTACGAAGATCCACTCCACGCCGCTTACCAGTCTCTTTTTTTATCAGCAGCTGGACATGAGCCTCCTGTTAGAGCTCTGCACAAGTAACAAACTTGATCGGGCGGTGTCTGGGAAACAGCGCAAAGGATTAGCGGATATGGTCGGTTTCGGACCCCGATATTGCGTTCTCTAGCCCTTGCCTGCCGTTTTAAGGCCTTGGAGGTAGGTGGGATACAAAGGACCTGCGAAAGACACAGTGGAGTGTCCCATCGACATCCTAGCGAGGGTCTTGTGAGTTTACACATCGTTGCTGCTCTCTTTCATGCCTTCTCAGTTGAGCCATGGTCCTCCCGAGTCGTCCAACATGCAGATTAAACCCGTTGTCGTTTCTTTCATGCTCCTCGCGGTGAGCATCGTGGTCGTTACTAATCCGAAGCCCACCAGCCGTGTCAGCCCTCACAATCGGTGAGCGAGCCTCGTAGCTTACGCCGGAAGATGCGTCCCTCTGATGTACTGCCGCCCAGCGACAACTCGCTTGACGCGCGTCAGATCAGTATAGACCCGTGCTGCTGCTAGCTAATGAATTCGAAATGTGTTCTGTGCAGTACATGCTTCTTGTTAACGATCTAGAATGAGAGCACCTAGTTCGTCGCTGCGCGCCGATTCGACAGAGAGATTCGCAGGGCAGGTCGGGAAGTCGACGGCGCGGCCGTTGGTGCCGAACACGGCGGAGCTCTACAACCTCGAGCCGTCAGCCACCTCTGCATACAGTTGCACTCACAGCCAGATTCGCATCGTAATAGACTGGATAACCAGGCTCCCGCCGTCGAGCGCCGCGGAGGCGAGGTAGTCGTACTTCCTGGGCCACATAGCGCGCCACGAGCACACCCACCATTGCGAAGTGAAGCCGATAATGACGGACGCACACCACTGGCTATCGATAGAGTTTGGTAGGGGCCGATGTAGAGCGCAACGATGGGCATAGCGATGTGCTCCGTTGCGTGGTTGAGCCATGTACCCTTCACAGTGTGTCGACGCACGAGCCACAACAGAAGAGGGAAGAGAGCCCGGGATCACGGAGCAGGAGACGAGCGAGTAGGGCTTGCCGCTGGTAAGGCTAATGAGGGAGTACGAGCGGAGGAGAGGGAAGGAGAGGAAGGAAAGCGGCGGGCAGTTCCTTGCCGACCGCACCCAGAGCCACAGAGGCAGATCTGTACTGCTAGACGATCCAGCACTCCACTGTCGCCCTATGAGATAGCAGATAGCAGATTCGATATTCGAAGTCAGTAACGTACCTTACGTGTACTGACAGGGTCCGGCAAGATCTCTCTGTTGGCGTTCACGATAATGGTCATCACTGGGACGCGTTAGTCAAAACACAGAGTGAGTCATGCGTACTGTATAGCTGAAGATGGATCTTAAGACGGAGCCTGCCATCTGCGCAGCGAAAGCGACCCTCAGTGGCAGCTTAGTGTACTAATCAAGCTTGAGATCTGTCCATCGAGCAGTGTGTCAGCCGCGAGTCTCCGGTCAGGAAGCAGCGCACGCACCTTGCAGCACGGCCAGAGTCTGGAGGGCGGTGCCTCTTCCGTACAGGTTTACGCACATGGCTGTACGGAGGCAAATTGTTCAATTCTCGGCAAGGCACACTGGAAGGGCTCAGGCACGGACATGGGCTTCCCTGGATGAATGAATGCCGCAAGATCTCTGCACGTGATGGAAAGCGTCTGGATGCCCGTAGCTGTGGCGACTGGTAGTCATATCTAGCAGAAGGGCAGGAACTGCAACTCGAACAGACAACCATGATGGTGTTGGTGGCGGTGAAGAGAATGATACACACCATTGCATAAGCGGCGTCGGAGTCGCGGACCGTGGGAAGGACATCTCGACCAACTAGCTGAGTGGGTGGAAGTAACAGACATACACTGCATCCGATCCCAACGGCGAGAGACGCGACAAAGAGAAGGCCACCGCGGAGCTTCGGCGTACTTCCTCATTCCTACGAAACGACCCTGAGATGTGCTGGAGAGGGTCGCTTTACGGGGAAGGCACTTACACCGGTAGCGCAGGTCATTTATTTCATGGTTATCCTTCAGATCATCCCAGTGCCATAAGAGCACATGCACAAGTGTCACGCCGAGGCTGAAGTTGTAGCACGTCTGGCTGACGGCGTTCTCGCGGTATACTGCGGGAGGCCGATCTCGGCGAGCTTGGCCTTGTTCATCGCGTTCTCGGATATCAGGATCGCAGTTTGGTTGTACGTGCTGTTTCCGCGCCGAACAGGGACGTTGGCATGAAGACGAGGTGCAATGAAATTGTTCTCATGGAACGCGAGGGTGAGGACGAGATAACCTATAGCTATGCGCACTAGGAAGCTGATGTCAGAGTGCGCAGTTGCTTCCACGTACAGTACGTGCTGATCCGCGTCTTGCGTGGCCAGATGAGGGCTGCCCTACGTGACAAGTGACCAGCTGGTGCTAGAGCTGGGCAGACCAGTGCCCTCACTACTAGACCCAGGACCAAAGAGGTTCTGGACGAAGGGCGAGCGACTATTGTCGATGAAGCAGAAATAGACCATTCCTAGAAGAAGATCATAGCAAACATCATTTTCAAAAGCAGTTCCTCTTCTTAAAGCGATTATAGCACGGAAACGTATGATGAGTAGAATGTGAGGGTCGGGTACAACAAGAGCGTGCGCACTGTAATCCCGTCAGCCCTTTCTGTATCGGTATGGTAAGCTGACAGGGCTTACGAACTCCTGCCATGCCATAGCCGAGCATCTGGCTGGCAAAGATCTGGAATTTGGCGGCCGCCACATTCGTCGTTTCGTTATAGAAGAGATCTGCTAGCCACTCGGTCAGTGAACTTCTGACCAGAAGTCTGGCATGCGTACTTGCCAGAAGCAGTAGGTATAAATGGTAGCAGGCGCGGAACCGAGCACGCTGGGGCTCGACCGGAGGAAGACGGTCTTGAGTGTGATCATCCGCTGAGTCGGATCATCTTCCGTCGAAACGACCTAGTACCGAGGGGTTAGTACTGTGCAACATCAATAAAACCTTCAGACACGCCTTCAACGCAAGACCTTCCGCCTTCTGGATGATCCCAGAATTCGTCTCGTCCGATGCATCGTCTGAGCCGTCAAGGATGTCAACCCTCGCAGCCGATGCTTACTCTACATCGAGGTTCTTGAGCAACATGTCGCTTAAGAATATGCGTGTCATGTAACGAGACAGGCATATCTCACCAACTGAAGCAAGACACGATGGAGTTTGGAGCAAGTTGCGCCAACGCTAGCACAATCTCCACTCCCACTCCAAAGTGATTTCTTCACATGGAAGTCTCGTTTCGTGTCCAGGTCCGATTCCGCAAGCAACGTTCAGGGGACTACACGCGACATGGAGAAGATAGTGGTATTTCCTTCTCCCTATCGTTCGGCGCCCTTTGCAAGTAGAGAGCCGTGGAATGCGGAGGTAACAGGAACTGATATGGTTTCGGCACTCAATGAAGCAGATATTGGAGCTAAAAGGGGGGATTATCAGCGCTCAGAGCGTCCCCAGGATGGCGGCCGTCCTGCGATCGTCGAAATACCTGGTGAATAGCAGTACTTTTCTCGCACAATATGAAACTGTAAAAACCCGTCGTATCGCTCGAGAGATTGAGCTCGTCTACTGTTCAGAACAGCTGACCAGTCGCCGTTCCGGCGAAACGGGAAGGGCGGCTCGACACTCTCGCTTGGCAAAACCTTCTGTCAGAGCTAGATACGATATTTCAGTCCCAGCTCCCGGAGGCCAAGGCGCATGACATCCGTACCTGAGTAGACAGTGCAACGAGCCGAAGTCAGGCGCGGACTGTTTGTATCTGTTTGAGCACGAGCGCGACTTAGGCGGGGAACACGGTTGGCTGGGGGCAGCGACCCACACTACGAAGTATCAAGCCAATCTATGCAAATCGTGTAATGGTGAACAAGCCTACTATACAGACAGTGGAGTGAACAATATCCTTGGTAAATGTAGAGCGAACAAGACTGACGTGCTAGAAAAGACGGCGCTCACTCTGTTTTGGCTTTCTTTAGTGCATGACAGCCTGCGCTGCCTCTGCATCGTGCCTGGCTTCAGCCTTACGCTCTGCTGCAAGTCGCTGACGGACTTTCTCCACCTGATAATCCCAGTCCGTCCGGAGGCAGATCCACACACTCACACCTGCTTCGTAGACGAGTGCAATGGTGAGGCCAATCCAGAGGCCCAGAAGCTGCCAATCCCTCTTGAAAGAGAGCCAGAGACCGAAGGGAATCCCGAAAACATAATATGCACTTCGATGGAAGATGTTATCGATGATGAAGATAGCCTGAGAACAGGAAACACACCTAAGATTGAGCAGCGCGCCGGTGAACTGTTTGCCTTGCGCGCGGAGAATACCAGCTGTTACACCACCGAGGCCATCAAAAAGTTGAAAGAGCGCGACAATTGGCAGGATATATGCTACCAGCGAGACGACACCTAGCAATGCCGTGATAGTCACTTCGGAGAGCTTTTAGTATGAAGACGTTATATACGTACTCAGGTCGTCATTGAACAGATAGCCCCACGAATTACGGAAAACCATGAACATCGTGCTCCAAATGAGGCTGATAAGGAGGGCCATGAGCATCGCTGCCTTCGAGACATATGACGCACGGATGGCGTTTTCTTCGCCAAGCAGATTGCCAATCCTGCGCTGGCATTGAGTTACATGCCGTCCAGACGATCAACTCGGACTCACCGGACGGAAGTGGCAACCGCAAGTGCGAACGGCGCTTGGTAAGTCGTCGACGACGACACGAGCAAGACGGACTGCGCCGCGAGCGCGGTGGGCCCAAGCAAGCTAGCCGCAACTAGCAAATTTTTGGTGAGCTCCACCGCTCAAAATTAGAGCAGGCGCGGCCAAGTGACTCACGCCCGATCAACTCCCAAGACCACCACTCGGAGGCAGTTTGTCCGACACCCGCTAAGCCAAGCTGCACAAGCACACCGAGGCTCGTGAATGACCTCCGACAGATCGGGTGCCAGGCTGTGTGCGGCACAAAGAACATGCCGTAGACTATCGAGCAGAGTGAGATGAGGTTGAACGAAATTGCCGTCGCGATTGGTGCTCCGATGAAACCGAGCCGGATTGGTTTGGGTCCCCAGACTAAGAAGCAGTCAGATCAAACACGAACACGAGGTCCAGCAGACCTACCAAGAAGATAGTTAAAAAATGCATTTATGGGCGCGATACATATGATGATGCGTGTCGGAACGGTGAAGAGTCCTACGGAGCAATTTCAGCATCGCGTGTTTCGGAAGATATGTAGTGATCGGTGATCGCGCACCCTGTGACTGGAAATACCGCCGAGAGATAGCATTGAACGTGTACGCGGGTAGGCCGAGGACAGCGAACTTCAGGTACGTCGCCGCTAGGTGCGCAACCTCGGGATCCTGTCTCAGAGCAAGCAAGATAGCCTCCGAGTTGAACCAAATAAAGGTAATTGGCTGCCAAGCGGTACTTTTAGTCGGGATCGGTCCGCTGAGAGGCAAAACACACTCACCACCAAGGCAGCGGCCATGACCACAGCTGAAACAGCAAAATATGAGCAAGAGGACGCTGCGGAAGAATAAATAACTGCCCACCCATTCGCTGGGCCCAAAGGCCGACGAGCTGTGGCTGTGAAGATGTCCACGCACTCGGCAACATTGTGTCCAACGTGCTTGCGAAACCCTGGATAATGCTGTAGCCGGAGACGCTGGCGGTCATCGAGCCGAGAGTCGAGGCTGCCAGAGCTGTTGTCGACAAATGACCTATCGATATGACTGAGGCAACGACGAGCGAGTATTCCAGAACGTGTGTCCTGGTAAAGATCCATGGTCAGTCAGCTCTGAAGGAGATTAGCTGAGCTCTGAAACTTGAGCTTCAGCCCGCTGTCTAGTACGTTCAGTCCCTGGAACGTGCAGACAAAGTTAATCTCGTCCGGGGCACGTGCAAGGCCAGTGGGAAGACCTGATAGAGTTGCATCAAAGTAGCTTGACGTCAGGGATCACCTCCAAATCGGAACGGCGGCCGCAGGCTCCGAAATGAGTCGCGCGACATCCTCGACATCGTCGGAGTCGACGATGCCCGCCGTGCTCTCGGCCACCGAAACGCAAATCACAAGAAGACCGATCCACTCACCCAAACACAGGCAGCGTATACTTGGTAAGGATGCACATCTCCTCCCAGATAACATTTGGACGCGCGCCCGACTCTGGCGATAGGTTCTCCCCGTCGACCTCCTCAGGTATCCGTGGAACTGGCGGCGCGAGCAGCGGGGTATTCTCGGTGGGTTCAAGCATAGGGCCTGAGCGGTACCCGGACTTGTCTGGCAGCGGTCCCATGCTCGTTGGGTTGAAGGGAGTCACGTAGGCCGTAGGAAAGCTACTACGGCGAGGTCGTTTTTGCGGCAGTAGAGAAGATGACGGCAGCACGTCCTCGTTGTCTTCGTTTATAGCAGTTTCGTCTGCTGTGTGAGGTTGAGGGTCATTGGCCTGCTCTGGTCCCTCGCTTATGCCTCTGGCAGCTGCAAACCGCGAGAGCAGAGCGTAGTCCGAAGGGAGAGAAGATGGGGTGGAGTAGTGGACATAGGTAGACGACATGGTGAGTCAAGAACAAGTGATTCAATTCGAGCGGTCCGTCTGTGGCGAGCAATATGAACGCTTCACACCGTCTTCTGTTAGCGCGAACGCCGAAAAGCAAAAAGTTCAGGGTCAGTTTGGAGTGTTTTTGGCGTCGAAAAGTTGATCCGTTACATCCCTAAATGGGTAAGCGCCGCTTACCGTCGGGATCCCGCCATGTCCGAATTCGGAAGGCGGCGGTGATCCTCAACCTTCCTCAACCGCCCGCCGCCGAGTTCGGCCTAAACTTCCATGTTAGACCCTGAGTTCGAGCTCACGACGCCGCCTCTGAGGCCGCCGTTACAGAACACATCCGCACCTCGAGATGGCGAGATTATGGTGGACTTGACGAAGCTCAAAAAATGGCAAGAGGAGCGTATTGCTCGTCGCCTGAGGGGAGAGTATGAGTCTGCAGTCCTTCACCTGGCTGAAGTGGTACGTGTCAAAGTCGTATTCTGAAGGAAAAGATTAGTGAGCAGTAACAGATCAATGCGAACATCGAAACCCATATGCGCTTAGCCGCAGTGCGCGTCGAGGGCACACCTCACACTCGCGCATCCTTCCTCGGGTCTCTCGTCCAGCCATACTTGGCCAAGCCCAACCCCGACCAGCAAACCCTTGCCTCTGTCATGCACGATGCTCGCGCCATCGGCAGCCTGTTGCAAGAAACCGACATCTTCGAGTCCGTGTATGCACAGGTCGAGCGGTGCCGGGAGCCCCTCGCCCAGCACGGCGACGTCGAGCTCGTGTTCATGACGAAGGAGAGGTCGCGGATGTATCTGAAAACCGCGACGGAGCTCGGGAACAACGAAGCGGGTGCTGTAAGCGGACCTGTTGGCGTTTCGCTTTCCGGGTACTCACGCGTATGTTTAGAGCGCGACATGCAGGATCCGCAACGCCTTTGGCGGCGCGGAGGCCATTGAAGCGCATCTGGCCTTCGGCACCACGACGCGCATCGCGTACAACGCTTCACTGACCGCACCGCTCACGAACGATTTGAAGACCCGCGGCGAGCTGAGCCTCTACGGCTTCGAGCGCGACAACACCCCTTACTGCAGCGCCTTCGAGGGCGTACGCGGCATCAGGGCAGTAGTCAGGGTGAGCTAGGTTAGCCTACATCCTTGGGCCGACATGATGGGCGAGCTGAATGCCTTGTTGTCACGCAGAACGGCACGCTAAGCAGAGGGCTGCACGAGTTAGGCTACGAAGGCGTTCTGAGACACGTCGGGAACCTGCAACCATCGGCCTCAGTCAGGTACGGCCGTTTTGACTCTCATCAGCTGTAATATTGTGGCTGACGGGAGTGGCGCAGCATGCGTGGGGCGGCGGGCCTTTCCATCAAGTCTGCCATATCGCATGCATGGACCTGCGACACCCGCGACGACAGCATCTTCGGCACGCGCGGCGCTTATCTCCGTCTCGCGCAAGAGCTTGCCGGACTCGGCGGCGATGCATCCTTCTACAAGGCCGAGGGGCACGCGCAATTCGTGCGTCCTCTGGTGCCTGGCGTATCCCTCTCCTTCGCCGCGCGGAGTGGGCTTCTCTGGCCGTTGGGCAAGCCCGTCCCCTTCCCCGACCGGTTTCAGCTCGGGGGGCCCACTAGCGTCCGGATGTTCAGGATGAATAGTATGGGCCCGCATGATGGACGTACGTCACAGTGGCATAGCTCCGAGGCGATTTCATACTGATAACGCGCCGCAGCTGATTCACTCGGTGGCGACGCGTACTGGTCGGCTGGGCTTAGCGTCATTTCCGATATACCCCGAAAGCCACACTGGCCCGTGAAATTGCACGGGTTCCTGAACGCGGGCAGACTTGATTCCGTTGACCATTGTACGTTCCATCCGTGCTTTGCGGGCACTTCGCCGTCTCTAACTCCCCGTCCCCCAGCAAAACCTCTCCAACAGTCGCTTGTGTCTGCCTTTTCGAAGCCATCGGTGTCTGCCGGTCTCGGTCTCGTCTACCGCCTCCAGGGTATTCGCGTAGAGATGAATTTCGGACTGCCGCTAGTGGCTGCACAGGCAGAGGGCGCGAGAAAAGGGTTTCAGCTGGGTATCGGGATGGAGTTCCTTTGACCCGCCTAATCGTTGACACTCCTGTAAGCAAACCGCGTTTTTCCTCCCGAGGTCTTAATAGGCACCCTTTCTTCTCGTGATGGAACGTGCTCGGGAGAAGCTTCCATCCTGATCGAGCAGTCGGGGACTTCGAGGCGCTACATCGCGTGGCGGAGCTACGTTTCTCGCGGACAGTACTTGAATCGCGAGCTCTTTCTGTCGCCGTGCAAACTGTACCACGGTACATCGTGTTAGTATCTCATACGATAATCTCATCCTTTGGGAAGGATCGCATTCCAGATTTCCATCGAGTACATCGACCAGGATCTTGGGGCTTGAGTATGCCTGGGGAAGTCCCTATGTGCCCATTGCGGTACATTACGTTGGACAGCAGTCTAATTGTCAAGGAGCAGCGCCATTCAATCGCACCCTGACTATCGAACTCCTTCGATGCCACCATGGCCCAGGCGGCTGGCTGTCTTTGAAAGGGAGAACCCACCGACATTTGCCGCATCGAGACAGTCTTAAGATCACAACATCTGGCGTATGTCAGGGTCGGCTACTGCGCTATGCTTTAACAAATCTTGGGCTACATAATATTATTACTACAGGTGACATGCGTCACACTATGTATCACCGTAAAGTATGGTCATGACCGGCGTCGTCTCATAGTACATGTGATGATACACGTCGTCACAATCGTACAGCAGCAGCGCTGAAGAGTTTTAGACGGGGGGCTCGTCCCCGATCTTCTGGCAGCACGACACCTGACGGTTTTCAAGGGCAGCACGACTAGTTGCGCAAGCAGTCAGCACACGCGGAAGACATAGTATCTGATAACTCACGCGACGAGGGGATCAGCGCCGAGCAGGGGTACAGCGGAGACGACAATTCCCATGGCCAGGAGCGCGAATGTTGCGAGGATGGATTTGAATTGCATCGTCTTGGGGTTACTACTGATGAGATTAGCCAGTGGGAACTGGAGGGGAGAAGATGGGAGGCGTACGAGGGAAGAGATGAGAGACGTTCGAAGAAGAGTCGTGACAGTTCACTCTGAGGTGTCGAGCGAGGGTCGCCGTCTTCTTATATGGGGCCACCAAGATGTGCTTCCGTCTACACCCGTCGTACAAGGATAGCTTCAATGATGGCCGAACGCAGCTTGGCTAGGGCGTATTCTCTTGCCGATGTCGCCCACCCCGTACTAAACTGCATCTGGCGAAGAGCTGTCTATCCTGTTGTGAAAATAGCATCCTGAAGCGTCAGCCTAGACGCATGGCTCCTTGTCCCAGTGTTCCGGCGGCACGAGGAGCATAAGCGACGGTTTATCGGTGACACGGGTGACCTGATTGGAAGGCAGTTGGAATGAATGACTCCTCCATCGATTGTCAAACTTTCATCCCTGCGACACATACAGTCATCGGACGCACCCCGGACCATTTGAGACATCTCCTTCGTTCCATTTACATAATTGCTTCTGCAAAAGCGGTCAGCTCTTCCCAGAGGTAGAGGTATGATGCCATGCGGAAATGTTCAGTCCGAACACATGCGGATCGCACGGGTTCGACTCGTGTGAAGGCCATGGGCATCCCTTACGCCATCCGGCGATGTCGACGCTCGTGTGCCGTATCCTACACAGCTCTAGCATCGCATTAGTGAGGTACGACAAAGCCACCGTAGCAGGGATATCGATGTCATATCGATTAGACGTGGCCTTCGCGAGAATTCCCGAGCGTAAAACTATTACGCGCAGACGTACTTGAGAAACACCTGAGCCACTGGCATACTCAAGATTCTGAAACAGTCTGAGATATGGGATGTCAGCAATTTCTTTCGCCAACCGGTCTCCTATCGAGTAGTCGCTGAACTCACCAGAGACCGAGTGCTCTGATTAACCCAGGCATGTACACTGCGACGTTCAGGCATTGCGTTATGCAAGGACGCCTGTTTGATGGCAGGCGGGGCTCGACTGCGAACGACACGAAGCGAGCTTGCCACTGAACATTAGCACCATGGCCACGCGCGTCTGGCCCTATGATCAATTTCCACTCACACACTTCGACACACTGCCTATGCCGAGACAGGAGGACCTGAGCCATCTAGGAGATAAACGGTGCGTCACGCAAGCCATGCGTTCAGTCCAGTCAGCCACACTCTCAGTTTGACGCTAACAGACACGAACCCTGGGCAGGTAAGCAGCATGTATCGCCACACCTGAGGCGAGAGCGCACTAGAGGGCGCCACGGCACCGGGCCTGCGACGGATCATATCTTCCGCGCCGCCTGCAGGCTTGCTGGCGTTCAGGGACGGTATGCCGTGTACACCTGCTAAGGAGATCATACCTTGTACCAGGCTGCCGATATTCTTCCATCTTACAAGACGGTGCGCATATGTGTGTACTTGGCTGGCGGCACCGTGACGCTATTTGGCCACTCACCCTCTAGCCGATGTCCGAGACCTTGAGTTGCGAATGATGCGCTCAATCAAGATCCTTCTCGTTGGCATGGCGAAAGCATTCTTGGCCGGTGCGCAGCTTGCTTTTTGGGTTCCAGCCGGCCTTCCAGGCTGCGAAGGAACACACCTAATGCGGATCGGGCCAATGGTGTTGCCCAAAGTCTGCGCCTCAGTACATCAGCTGGAAGATTATATTCCTACCGTTACGATCGAGTAGATCTGGGAAGGCACCGAGAACATTAGACATGGGTGCTTATATCCATGTGAGGGCTCATCAAATAGCGCTCCTTTTGTTGCTCGTTCCTCTCGTCGCAGCATTCTCGGGCTGGTGGTCTCAAGCACTACTTGCCGCGTTCTCGGACTCATCACCTCTTGCTAAGGCGCTATGCCCTGCGTTCGGTGAACTTTTAGGACAAGAAGACGCAGCGATCCTTGTTCCGCATGCTTGGGTGTCTTGCCCGATGTCAAACTCGACAAGCAATACAACAACCACCGGTGGACAGAACGCAACAGTAGAAGCGTATACAAATTTGTGAGTGCAAGCAGCCGGAATACCCAGGCAAACTGGGTCTCAGGCTTTCTTTACCGTTTTGGTGCAGCGTGCAAGAGAATTATTTCAATATTTCATCCCGCGGTGCGTCATCCCCCTTTTCACCCACACCTACAAGTCTCTCACGGTGATTCGTGCTCTTTATAGTTTTATTTCTCTGGGATTACTGTATCACATTCGATGACGAAGTTCAATACGTTTGGAAAGGAAAGTGGACACCCGCCACCTTTATCTTCCTCATCAATCGTTATGTCAACTTGGTCATCACTATCCTGGAACTGTTCGAGCAAATCTCATTCCAAACTTCCCAGGTGCGTTGCACAGCACCGATTATTGATGCGTGACAGTGACGCGTCGTGCAGAGGTGAGGGTGTCTCCACGCCGGTCGCGCTTTATGCTTATCGTGCCACTTAGTTGTTCTCCATTCGTTCGTCTGCTACAGTCATTACTAGTACTTGCATTATTTATCGTTGCCGGTATGTTCTCTTCTATACGATGCTGCCCTTTCTGATCAGTACAAGCATTCACCGCTCTGCGAGTCTACGCCATCTGGAACCGTGATTGGAGGCCAGCTCTTCCCGTTCTCCTGCTAGCTCTTGTTTCGCCCGTCGTCAACATCGTGAGTTTGATTTGCTGAAGCTACGTGTGTCATAATCATATTCTACAGTACATGGACGCGACACAAGAGCCGGAAGTTGCACCTTCACCATCTGTTGGTTGCGCAGTGTACTTGAAGATAACTAACGATCTGTTCGGCGTGTAAGTTATGTCGATTAACTACATATTCCGTGGCTAATCGCCCCCTACACATTAGATGTGAGTATTGAAGGGTTTGGACGATTCTTGATATTCATTATGGAGCAGTGACTATCGTGACTCGTGCTTCAACCTTAGCAACCGACGGGATCGTGCTGCTTCTCACCATCATTAGGGCAATACGATTAAAGAAGGAAGGCACAAGATGGACTCGAAAGGTTGGACTTCTACCACTTCTTCTCCGGGACGGTGAGTCGTTGTTGCAATGAAACAATTGGTTGTCTCAGCTGATGGTCAATACTCAGGCGTGCTATACTTTCTGTAAGGTATTCGCTTTCTGCAGGCCTTGTCTTGAGATTAATTGATCGTCACTTAGACTCCTTTTTTGCATCAATCTCACGCAGATTATCGTCACTGCCCAGGTCGCGGTATGTGCCCGCCGTGTACTTTTTCTCGACGATCCTACTGAAACATGATCAGGGGAATAATGACATCGTGTACTATGTTTCTCCGTTAGTTTTCACTTCGTTACGTCTTGCTTCGTACGCGCTAACGTCGAAATACATGCAGCGTGACATCGATGCTCATCTCGCGATTCCTCATCGACCTACGAAGAGTCGTGCACAGGGACCAGAGCGAGCAATCAGGCGCTACCTCTGTCTGCTTAACCACCAACGTACCGGTGCCAAGCACGTTCACCGTATGCCCAGGCGACCTGTATAGTTTTGGAGATCCGGTGGGAAGTGGCTCCAGCGGCTTCGACTCCGCTGACGAGCTAGAGAAGCTATATGAGCCCAAGGTTGCGTGCGAGCACTCCATCTGTAACTTGCCAAGTGGACACAGTTCATCCGAAGTAGGACAGATAGCATAACTTGGCCCATATGTCGTCGTTTCGTACACTCCTTTTTTTACCACCCATTCGCTACTTTCGCCGCCGACTAAGTGTCGCCCTGTTTCCTCTTACTTAGGTCGTCGTAGTCCCAAGGGGCTGCTAATATTCGGGATGTGAGCAATTGCGATGCTTTCTTCTTCTGAGGGAACACTGCCTCAGTGTAGGCATGTACGAGGCCTCGGGAACCGGGGTAGCTGCCACTTGTAGCCACGCATGTTTTCGGCAGAGTCTCTCATCGGCTGGCGTCGCTGGCTGAGCTCACTGTGGCGCTCGGCTTGGGCAAAATCGACTGTTCTGAAGGGGGGCAGACGGCTTGTATTTTGGCGTAGGCGCAGACAGCCAGGGAGAGACCGATTAGTGCGGATAGGACAATTCCTGGAACAAACGTTCCGGGATATTTCCGCTATCAGCAGGTCCTGACCGTGCGGTCGGTCGCGCATTTTCGAGCCGAAACACTCCACGGGCTACTCAAGTTCCGGCTCATTTGTGGATAAGAAACACGCGGGTAGTACAGAATCTTCGGGTTTGCACCTCGGAGTGCTTTCACCCTCCCGGAAGCTATTGCCCGCAGAAATAGACATTGATCGCCGTTGTTTCTTTACAATGCTCACCTTGCGCAGGGTCAGCTATGAAATAATCTTGACATTTCCTAATATACACTTGCATACGTAGATACCAGAAATGTTATAAGTCGTTGGTCTGGATCATGCCATGGGCTGCTCGGTGAAGTCTTTGATTCATGGACTTACTTTCGCCGATTGTCTCAAAAGATATCTGACACAGAATATAGTGAGCAATCTTGATGCGGACTGCTGCTCGCAACAAGCATTTCGTCTGTCCTTAAGTGCTTGTAAGCGGAACAAAATCCTTTCAATGCCTTTTAAGGGCCTTAAAGGTACTTAAAACCCGGCTTCAAGTCTCTTTAAGGCTACCTTGAGACTATTGCAAGATCGGCGCCTTCGCGCCTTCCAAGGTCGATTTAGAATTTAGGACATTAAGATAACAGCTGGAGCGCTGGAGTCTGGGCCACTGATCATTTAAGGTGATCTGACTCTGATTTCGTGTATTGTATCTGTAACCGCTTGTTCAAATGACGCGTAACGCGGGCCAAAAAGAACGTCCTGACGCAAGTCCAGCGGAATCGACGGTAAGACGGCCCGAGGCGCTCTGCGTCCTGATTGGCTGCTTAGGACGTCCGGATCACGAATGTGTGAGCGCACCTACTCACAAGCGTCGCACCTTGCGCATCATCGGTCGTACCAACAGTGTTTTGTGTATATGAGCAGTTTGACGAGCTTATTGGACTATCGAGATCATTGAGAGAGCGGTACCTGAGATGGCGCAGGTTTCACACTAAGCTACTAGAACGATCTGCTGAGATGCCATGTCTACCATCATGATGGCATTGGTGCCGTAAGGTGGGCACTGAGGGACGCTTTTATATAAGCACGGGAGATGACTTTTCCTCCTCTGCGACCTCAGGCATCGGGGCTGAGCGCTGAGCTCTTGTGGCTGGTCCTTCACCGTTATTGCTATGCTTAGGGCTCCATACTGGTCTATACTACTGCCTATCATACTGTCGTGATTCCTCGTCTCAATCGCAGAACGTCACATATGGCTCCTTCGTCGCCAAATGATGCTACAACCCCGGGTTTCGTGAGTGTACAAGACTACCTGAATCTGTGAGTAGTATGGCTTCTTTCAACCATGCTGCGCTGGCGCTTAGATCCAGTGTTCGAGGAAATTACTGCAGCATATCGGCCCGAGGTAAGTTTGCACATATATAATCTGTGTCCTTGTGCCCTTACACAAGCTTCTAGTTCTGTTTTTATGGGACTATTGCGTGACACTCGAGGACGAAATACGCTATGTCTGGGGGTGTAGGATGACAGCTGCCATGCTCCTTTTTATGATTAACCGCTATGTGAATCTCGCGATCACCGTAATGGAAATAATGGATCAAGCTCCCTTCCAAACTCTCCAGGTCAGTTGTTACCTTGCAGTGTTCGCATGTAGCTCACGCCGCCATAGAGGTAATTTTTCACCCAGGACCTAGTTCGTGGCTCATGGAACGAGCAGCTGCGAACCGTTTGTTCGAGTCTTGCAGACATTGCTGGTCCTTGTCCTCTTCATTGCTGCAGGTTCGTGGCTTTCTACTGCTCAACTAGCGGTTCTGACAATATTCCAGTCTTTGCCTCCCTGCGAATATATGCAATATGGGACTGCAGCTGGAGATTAGCCCTTTCAGTACTCGTTCTGGCTCTTATTTCGCCCGTTATTACTATAGTGAGCGCCTTCGCGGGGACTCAATTTCAGCACATGTCTGATGTTCTCCAGTTCGTATATTCTAACCAGATCGTAGAGCTCGCTCCGCCTCCATCTGTTGGCTGCGCGTTGTACATCAAGAACTCCTATTCACAATACGAGCGGTACGTTCATGGTCTTTCGCCTCACAGCCTCCGATTTAACAATCGTGGGGGTGGTTCTTTGCGACAGATGTGTGTATATATGTGCCTCAGCGCTGAGCAGTACTCACGGCTTGGTTCTTCTTCAGTGGAACTCGCAAATCAAGCGTCGACTGTAGCATTTTACGGCCTTGCATTGTTCCTAACTATGGTCAAAGCCCTGCAACTCAGTAGACGGGCAACTCAACGGAAAGTCGAGGCGGGATTGATTCATTTTCTCCTCAGAGATGGTGCGCTCCGTCCTGAGCGGCATGCTTCGTAACTCTCACAGACTGATACTTGGCTTTTAGGCACTCTATATTTTATGTAAGGTTATATAAGTATCACGGCGCATAGCTTACAGGCTATCCTTTACCTTTCAGGATGTTCGTGTGCATTAATCTGACTCAACTCCTTATCACAGCGGAGATCGCGGTATGTTTTCGTTGGCTGCGTGGTGCAAATTCGCATTCTCATTATTCATCGTATGTAGGAGATAAACGTCGACTACCTGGGCTTTTATGTAGCACCGTAAGGCGTTCGACTCCTCCAATCTCACACGCCAAAACTGACCTTCTGGCAGGATGACCTCGATTCTCATTTCGCGCTTCCTCCTAAACCTACGGAAGGCCGCCCGACAACGAGAAGCAACTCATCACACGTCGGTGTACCTGACGTCTTACCTCTGGAGCGCAGGTGTGGCCTCTGATAAGACGGACATGGGAGGTCCGATCGGCAATAGACCTCGATATACACGCGGAGACAGCTCTGATCATGAGCTTGACGGGGACATCGAACTGTTTGGACGAGAGGAGGCCCTCTCATCTTTGACTGCCAGCCCTCGCGGGAACGAGGATTAGAACAGACCATCTACTTTTAACGTTCCATTAAAGTACTGTATATTTGCCTTGTTGACGTTGTCGTCATATGTAGCGCTATGGTCACTTGCGAGAATTCAAAGGGAGTACTACATATTATGTCATGGAGCGGCTCAAATAATTCTACGTCACGACACATTACTTCGTTCTTGTTCTATCCTAACATTGCTACCTTGCTGAGAGCTTACGCGCTTACGGCCTGACCTTGACACGTGACCTAAGTAGTATTCCCGTGTTCTGACTTCTGCGGCTTCATCCCGTCGAAATCACATCTTGCGGATTAAATCCTTGCCAGGTGAGCAGCGGGTGTCGTCTGAAATGAAAACAACAGCATTAATGCTGAGCATAAAGTCACCTCGGAAGGCCAATGGTTCTCCCTCACGACCTCTGCTCGCACATCCAAAACGCCTTCCGGGCGCGGCACAAGTCCATCTGTGTCCCGCACACGACCCAAAACCTCGGCATCCTCTCCATCCTCCTCCGCACGGGCTTCATCACCAACCTGTCACGGGGTACGACCGCGCAGCCGTCGCCGGAGCAATTCCACACCGCGAGCGAGCCACAGCGGCGGATATGGGCTGACCTCAAGTACCGCGAGGACCGCCCAGTGCTGAACTCGATGGAGCTCGTCAGCAAGCCGAGCCGGAAGATACACATGGAAACCAAGGAGATTCTCCTCCTATGCACGGGCAGACGGGTGCAAAGACAAAAGCCGCTACGTATGGGTGAGATCGCGGTTGTACGGACGGATGACCGGGAGCATGAGTGGTTAGAGGCGCGAGAAGCGCTGCAGTTGAAGTTGAAGGGCGAGGTTGTTTGCAGGGCATGCTAATGCGTTGTTGAGCCATCATTGTCTCCTGTGAGTATTATGTTGCATGTTGCATGTTGGACGCGCCTCGTATTGACTGTCCAGCAGAGCCTTTTATAGTACCCATTTCATCTCTTTCTCCGAAAAATGCACTGCCGCGAACTACTCAGAAGGCTCCCTAATATCACTTTGTTCGTGTGAAGTACATTCAAGACTATCTTACGACAAATCTACCACGACCAGACGCCAGTCCTTCAAGTAATATGTCTGCTCTTCCGAGACTGCTTGTTCGTGCCCGACCTCTCCAGCTGCTGCTTCAAGCCACGAATTGTCTGCACGATCTCGGCTGAGAATACGCGTCAACACAGCTCAATCAGCACAGTCAGGCAACTTATCCACTCACCAGCCATCTTTGGGTTCTCCGCCTCGAATTCGTATCGCTTGTTCCGCTCGGCATCCCTCGGCACGACCAACTTGAACGTCGCGCTGTTCTTACCAGACTGCTGCACTGTGACGATACTCTTGATGTCGTAGGAGGCCGTCTTGCCACTCTCGAAGACGTTCTTCGCTTTGTTGGCCTGCGGCATGATCTGACGACACCCTTTGTCAGCGAATTGGTCTGGATGGAGAACCAAAAGTGCCTACATGTATATATCCGCCATCAATAGCAAGCAAGCGTGCGCTTCGCGTAACGAGCATAGGCACTTTGCGGTACACGGTGAATCTCTGCAATGCGCCTGGTCAGGTACGTACTCGTCTACTCGAATGTTCAACTCACCTTGTACGCGGTAGCGTAGTCGAGCGGCGAGTTGTACGTCGACTCCGGAACTTCTGACGTCCGCTTGAAGATCGACGCTGCATAATCACATCAGGCCCGCTTGCCTCCCCGTGTATTCGGTCAGCCACTCACCGTTCGGGTCGGTCGACCGCCCGGTGATCCTCTTGCCCATCTCGACGCCGTACGTGGGCAACATGTTCTTCTTGATGAGCATCAGGTCGCGCTTGCCCTGCAGCGACTTGACGGTGCGGTCGAGCGGGATGAAGAGCTTCGCCGGTTTGAGGTCGAGCACGAGCGCGTAGTCCTTCGGGTTGTTCAGTTTGCGCCGCGAGCACACCGCTTCGAGAACCTCGGCCATGTACATGCCGCCGTGTCTGCGTTGCCACGTCTCAACATCACCAATCAACCCGATTCGAAGAAGAGGTGAACGTACGCCTGGATAGTGGTGGATACATGCCCCGCATCGGCGGTGTCCGCAATCCGGATACGCAAGAACTGCGGTGGACCCTGCACGGATGAAGACCCAAAGGAGCTTGGGAATAGGCCGAGCGACGAGCCGAGCATGGACCCGGGGCCTGCACTTGCGCTCATGCCCGCAATAGCCAGCTCTGGTGGCGCCAGGCCGCCCGTCGCCGAGCTCGCGCCCGCGCTCTTGAGCAGTTCGGTCGATTTCTTCTTCTTGAGCACAATCCGGGAGAGCCGGCGTTGAATCTTGGATTCGGTGATTCTATTTTGTGCGACTGTAAGTAGGATGAGGGCGTGACTTGCTGGCAGGATTTCAGAGGAGAGAGCGTACCCTGAGGTTCGTGTGCCTTCAAGACGGCGAATGCCGTGAGTGCGAATTTTGAGACCTTCAGTGTGCGGTCCGGAACTGCAAGCAATGAGTATCCCAACGTAACTCTGTGATGCTGGCAGCTCACTGGGGAAGTCCTCGTCCACCTCTCCGTCGTCCTCCGCGAGCCTCATGATCCATCCGAGTCCAGAGCACACGATCGGCCACTTGGGGTCGTCGTCCTCGCTACCGAGGCCCTCGTCGATGCGCGGCTGCCAGCCCTCCTCCCAGTACGACCACAGCGCGAAGCCGAGCACCTCCTCCATCGTCGCGTCCTTACGCACGTTGAGCTTGAGCGGCTTCCCCGCCGGCTTCGTCGCGTGCGGGAAGAAGACCTGCACGTTCATGCTGTCCGGCTCGTTCCGGCCGGAGATTGCGCTGTAGAGCTCTGTAAACGGGTTCTCGGACGCCTCGTCGTTCTCGGATGCGAGCATCGCCGTGAGAGCGGATTTGCCCGGGCGTGCGGGCGCGACGGGTCTGCGGGCGAAGAGGTTCGATCCGGACGGCGACGGGACGGGTGGGGCGACGGCCAAGGAGCTAGGTGCAACGAGCAATTTAGCGATGCCTTCCTTTTGGGACTTGTCATCGACTGGAGCGGTGACCATCTCAAAGTACGAGTCCACATTGGCGGAGGTCGAGGCTCGTTCGGGTGTGACGTTGGTCGAGCGTTCTTCATTGGTGTGGCTCTCACGTACAGGACTGAGACGGCTGCTGTTATTCCGAACGCTGCCCATCTGCGGCAGAGACGAGTGTATGACAGAGAAGTCAAAAGCAGAGGTCCCGGACTGAGAACCCGATATGAGAGACATTCCATCGGACATTTCATCCAGCATAGTGCCCCGGCTCCCTGCAAATTCGCTGAACCAAGATCATCAGCACACCGTGGGTGTCACTAACTCGCAGAAAGACTGACGGATCAAATTCGTCATCGGCCATCATATCGACTGTAGCGTCAACGACGTCCTCATCCTCATCCATGTCGTCCTCATCCTCTTCTTCTGGAATGACCTCTTGTTCTTCCACGTCCGAGATCGATGGTGGTGACGAAGATGAGGACGACGACGACGACGACAGTTCCGGGTTAAGATGAGCAGGCGCTGCGACTTGCGCCCTGAGATGTCCGCCTGGGGGTATACGGTTGCGGATCCGAGCCTGCCTCCTGGCCTCCATCTCTGCGGCACCTCTGAATTTGGGTATGAACGGGATAAGTATATTCGCCGATGGTGCTGCGTTCCCGGTGGCAGTTGATGGTGCCGCGGCAGATGACGCTGGTAGTGGGGCTGGGGGATCTTTCTGCACTGGAGAAGCCTCATCCACTTTGATCTCGACCTCGGCAGCGCGTCGCGCGACATCTGCCTTCCTTGGAGATGCAGATGCAGGCAACGTAGGTGTGGCATCAGGCTCGACGGCGCCCTCGGCAGCGGGGCGAGGCTGTGATAGCGAACGTCTTACAGACTGCCTGCGAGGCATTGAGATGGACCCGCGCTTTCCACCCACGCGCATCCCGAGCGCGCCGGATCGTGACGGCCCCATGATGGTGGACGTGTACTTGAGGCCAGTGGCACCCGGGAAGCCCGTCGGCCTGCCAGCACGGCTTCCACTTGCCTCGTCATCGCTAGGCGGAGGGCTTGTTGGCATGGCGAGTTCGGGCCACTTGTTCACGTCCGCCAGTCCTGCATCCGCGACGTATGGGTTCGAGCGGTAGGATGGGTCCAAGGAGATCAGCCTAGGTCCATACGGGTCCTCGACATTACGCAGGTATTGGAGGCGGATACTATGTATGAGAAAGCTGCACAGCCGTTAGTATACGCGTGGGTTATAAATGCAAGTCTCGTAGCGAATCTTACTCTGGGTCACTTATCAAAGACATATGGTATGACTGTGAGGTTTGTGGGTCTACATGGTGGTCGGTGAGCGAGCACGAGGTTTGAAAGGGGAGCAAGATACTTTTCGGGATAATGAGTAGACTGCTGCCTAGACACCAGCTAGTCTCTTTATGGCGAGTCGCCGGGAATATGAGTGGTTGTCGGCGAAGTAACACGCGTTGGGATCCTCAAAAAGGATCGTGGCGCTGATAGGCGCTCCTCCATACTTTTGCTCCCGCGACGATGTCAGGCGAGGAAGTCATGTATCACAGTGATCATACACGTAGCTAAGTACGGCGAGTAGTAGTAATGTTGGCGAGAGCACCATTTCCATACAAGAAACACGCAGTCATCGTAAATACTCATAAAAATTCATAATCGTTACACAGGTTACCGCCAAGCAGGCTTCTTTGTCTTCGCTGTTCGTGCATCGTTCCACTTCTTGACGTTCCGTTTCCGCTTCAGTTGCTCGAGCCTCTTCTGTGACTCTCGCTCGGCAGCCGTCATCTCGTCCAGCTTATCGAACGTTTGCACAAGATCCTTCACGCTCGCTCCGCTGTCCCGTCGTTCTCGAGGGATAGCAGAGTTTGCGCCCATCGAGGATGGCGGCCTCGGCTGGACATGGTTGAGCTCAACCCACTTCTGGAGCTTCTGAGCAGGGCGCGGTATCGCGGATGGCTTCGGTGGCGGCACGGCGTGGAGGCGAACAAGATCCTTCGCAGGCGCAGGCCTCTCAGTGGGCTTGGGAATGGGAGTGATAACCGGCGGACGAGGCTTCTTGAAGATTTCAGATGGCGGCACTGGCAACACAGGTCCGCTGGCTGCAGGCTTGCCCGTCTTCTCTGTCCCAGGAGGCTTTTTCGGAGAGCGGAGGTAAGAGAAGACCAGACCCTTCACCTTCGTTGCTAGTAAGTGCGCGGCACGTCCAGGCAGCAGCGGACTGATATAGCTCTTGCTGTGTTCCTGCAACGAAGCGTTTGTTTGCCCAGCCATCGAGAGATCCAGGTCGGCAGCATCGTCGCCCCTTTCAACTTCTATCGCCTCCTGGAGCAGCTCGGTGTACTGCACATTACTGGTCTGCACAGGGGTTTGAGCCCCCATAGCAGGTAATCGAGGTGCTGGTTTTGCAGGCTCTCCCAGAATGGATACATTCGGCGAAAAGAAGGTGCTGTAGCTCTGTGCTGGTGTTTGCAAGTTCTCTGCCGAGGTTCCAGACTGACGATTGGAAGGTGCGGATTTCCCTGCACTTTGCTTGCGCCGAAGAGCCTGAACTCTCCTGAGAAGGTTGTCCCTAGCGATAAATTTTCGTCAGAAAATACTATACTAGCAAAGGATCCCGAAGCTGCATACCGGGTCCAAGCATCTCCCAACACCTCGACAACTTTCGCTCCGCCTATCATTTCAACAAACTTCACCACAACCTGTTCCTCATCAATATTCTCAGCCGGAAGAAGTGCACCCTCTTCCGAACCAGCTTGCTTTGCAAGCTCGACGCATACGTCCGTATAGCACGCATCGAGCGCCTTCCAGTCCGCCTTCGACCAGTGTCTTGGACCCGCAGACGCGTCAAAAACAGAGCGCGCTGCCTCAAAGCGCGGATTCTTGGGAGATGTCTGGGCGGAGATCTTCGACGGGACGGCCGGCTTTGCCGCTTTGGGAGGCGAGAGGCCACGCAGCATCGACTCTTCGAGGAGGACTGTCGCCTCAGCCTCTTTGAGCAACTCCGTTAGTGATGTACGGGGTGCCCCGTCAATGGTGAGAGTATTTCCGGTGCCACCTCCGAACGCGCCGCGTCGAGAAAAAGACTTGTTGACGCCGCTCTGGAGGATGGATTTCCGCCGGGCGCTCTTCAGCGCAGATTCGAGGCTGGCATTTGGATGTCGGCCGGGGGAACCAATAGTCTCAACGCAATCATACCTGTGCTGTAGCCGGAGCATGTGAATAAGCGAATGTCAAAAGACGTTTAGAAACAATCTCACTAGGCGAAGGATAGCAGCCGCTCGCGCAGCAGCCATCGGATCGCTACTCGTAATCTTCACGATCCCAGGGTCAAGCAGGGACTCATCGACGTCGTCCTCGGGCAAGTCAAACTGTGGAGTTGGAGCCGTCTGCAAAGGGCGGAACTCTCTAGTGACAGGTGACTGATGTGATGCACTCGTCTGCACAACAGCTGGAGTCTGGAAGGGATTGCGTGGGCTGGAGTTAACTTCGCGAATGCGAGCTGCGGGCGGAGCAAGGCTCGGAGGGGATGCGGGTTTGGAGACAGATACAGGCGCAGGATTAGGTGCAGATGGTCCCGCTTGTGCAAGTCGCGACCATCGTTTCGACAACTCTCGCACAACGCCGGCAGCGCTTTCCACCGGGATCTTTGCTGTTGCGTTGTCTTTTGCCATCACAGGCGCGTTAGGCGCAGGTTTCTCGACGGGTATGACAGGCAGCGGATGCTCTCGTGGCTCTTGTGGTTCGTTCTCTGCTTCAGGAAGGGGTGGCCTTTCGTCGTCATGCTCATCCGGTTCCCTTGACAACTCGCGTACGACAGAAGCAGCGTCTTCCTCCTCCACAGTGGCTATCCTCTCGTCCTGATGCTTGTCCTGAGGCACACTGAACGACCATTCCTGCGGTTCGACCGCGGTATCCTCTGGCTCTTCAGACGCATCCGAGCTCAACGGGAAGTCGAAGCGAGCATCGACTGTCTCGTCGGCAGGGCCGTCAGTAAGAGTTGTTTCGACGCCTTGGTCCCAAATTGGGACATCAGAACTGTCAAGTCTTCGTACATCCAAAAGAGCTGCATTTTCAGGTGGTCCTTCGATGAGCAAAAGAACGCCATCCCCGTCGCTTCGCGTGACCGAGTGTACAACATTCTCTGTCGCAATCTCGGCCTGTTCCTCTGGTGCCGAACATACGGAGGCTGCCAAGTCTGCGCGGTCAATGCAGGATAGCTCGGTACGCTGATACTGGGGCTGTGCTTCTGGACTGCTGGGCTCGGGCTCTCCTGCGTCGTCTTCAGCCTCCGCGGAGATCGGGGGCTCACGGACAGGCATCCGACAGCCGATGTCTGAGCCAACCTCACCAGATGCCTCGGCAGAGACAGTAACTTCCGTCCGCTCCGGCAATGGCTCGGGTGAAGCAGTCCGTGGGTGCCCAGAGGGGCCAGCCACAGGTTCGTGAGGTAAAGGAGAGGAGGGAATGCGGGGCGAGGAGCTGGGCAAGGAGAAGCCATCCTCTGCTGCTTCTTCCATCTCAACATCTCCATCGTCCACGGCATGCGGGGGGCTCCTCGGAGACGGTGGCGTTGGTGATCTCCACCTACTAGGTTCTGGTTGCAGCTCCTCATCGTCGTATTCCGCGATGGGCAACTCTCCCTCCTCGTCTTCTCCATTCTCGCGCACCGGGGACTCAGGTATAGGGCTGTACCTACGAGCAGCAACACTCGGACGCAACTTCTCGTACGGAAAGGGGCTGATAGGCTTGCCCCACATATCCTGGCGATGCCGAGTCATGCTGCTTGGTGGGTCCTGTTTGGTGGGGACCGTGATAATCTTGAACTTGCCCGTGTACTCGCCAGTATGATCGAACTCGTTCTTCCCATCTTCATCCTCGTCCGTCCATTCCTCTGTCTCTTGCACAGGCACGAGTCTATCGAAGTTAAAGAAGGAAGGTAGGGGTTCACCATCTGAATCGCTGTCGGGGCCTAGATCAGCGAAATTGAGGTTCTGGACGTGCGAATTATCTTCAGCCGGCGCGCGTACAGGGGAAGACGATGAAACTGGCGGTGTGTCGCGGGAGCGAACAGATTGTATTGAAGCAAGACTAGCACGGGGAGCACGCGATTTTTTCCTCGTGCTTGGTGGAGGTCCCTTGAGTAGCAGTGGGTCATCGGTGGGAGAAGGGGGAGGCGGGAGCTCGTCCAAGTCAATCTCAGGAGGTTCCTTCTTGATCTGCAGCGTCAACCTCCTGTCCTTGGTGCTACTCCGGGGCATAGACTTTCGCTTGCTGGACTTAGAGATCGAAGGGACTGGAGTGAAGACTTCTCGAGGCGGCGTAAACCGCTCGGCCGGAGGTTCATAAGGGATAGGCGTAGTGAAGCGGCGGTGGTTGATGACATAATCGCTGGTAGGAGAAGGCAGGAGAGGTATATAGTCAGCTTGTGGATTGTTGGCATGGGGAGACTGAACTAGGGAGCGTTTCGTTGGAGAAGAAGAAGCACGAGAACGAAAAGATTTGTTTGGAGTCTTGATGGGTGACGTCTGTTCTTCAGCAAATGAGACGTTTGACTTAGACTGCTTTCGCGGTTTCGGATTCGGTGTTGTATCAAGGGTGACGCGAGAGGAACTGGCCACAACACCATCTTCGTCAAGGCGCGCATCTGAGGCTTTCGCGACAGATCGAACTCGCTTGCGCTTTGGTATAGGCGTCGAAGGAGGGTTACCGGCTTCAGCACCGTTATGGTAGTCGACAGATGAGGCGTGCGCAGGTTTGTTACGACTTGTCTGAAGGACACTTGAGCAAAGTACCACAGAAATTGAGCTGGCTTTGACATACTCTGAGAATTTCCTCCGGAGGCGGGCTCATCAACATCTTTGGTACTTCATCTTCGCGTTCTTCGCGCTGCGAACTAGACGAGGGCGGAGTCAAGTCTCCAGGGCCCAAGCTCGACCGTGCATCTTGATGAACTTGCGAAGCGCGTTTCGTGTCGTGCCGAGCTTTAGCGGACGTATTTGTTGTGCTATGTGTCGCTTTGCGAGGCGGCATGATGTATTAAACAAGAAATATTCAGGGTTACATGAGCTGAAAAATCAAAGTGACTGGTCGAGTGCAAGTCGCGCATCCGCCTGGGCGCCCGCACGCTCGGGCCAGCCGCAGTCAAAACCGAACCGAGCGCTTCACCAAACGATCCGCGACTCGGACGAGCACTTAGCACGAGAGAAATTTGGAACTTTTTTGTCACAGAAAATATGCAAAAACAGCTTGAAAAAATAAGTAAGGAAAGGTCGTATTTTTTCTCTCGGTAT